CCAATATACTGATTTTTTTTCCCTGTGTGGTCCTTTTAATTATCTATGTGGTTATCAAAAGCTACATGAATTTCAAATAACCAGGCTCTTTTCATTATGCCACTCAGGTGACAACTTGTTTTCCTTTTCTTCTTTTACTTTAATGTTTGCATTTAGTAGCCATTTTGGGGGGTTAGCCAACACCCAACCCCACCAAACACGAAATACATTAAAAATAAGGAACTGTTTTTAGTATTCTTAAAAAAATATTCAAATTTTTAAAAAAACATCATTCAAAGGTAACCATGGATTTTGTGCACAATAATGCTCCTCTCAAAACTTTGTGTTATTTCACAAGGTTCATGTAAGAGTCATGTTTAGTTGTGTGGATCCTTGATATTAAAACTGGATAAGTTGAATCTCTTTGATTCCCCTTCCCTCCCCCCAAAATGTTTTATTATTTTTACAACATTTAGCTTTCATTTTTAATATGATTACCCTGTTTTTAATACATCAGAATCACTGTACTGAAGTTATTATTTTCCTTAAGAAGGATCATTTTAAATGCTTCATCCTCTCAAAAAGATACATTGTACTTCTTTACCTCATTCATAAATACCAGTTCCAATTTGAGGACAGTGTCAGATCCGTGTATCTGTCATTTCTTCAATGGAAGAAGAAAAAGGGGGGGATGGGACGGATAAAGAAATCCTTCTTGATGTAACCTGAATATATTTAATCTTATATCGAATTTCTATAACCTACACATGATACAATGGAGAGATGAAACCCAGATGGATGGAACCTATCACCTCTGAGAGAGACAGCCAGGAGATGAAGAGACCATAAAAATTCCACAGTGAGATGTGTCCTGGGAAACTCTGAAAAAGATCATTCTAAAAAGGGGGTGGGGGGGAATTAACATGTTGACACTTTGTTTTACTAAATACACATCAAGATAAGGGGAGGGGCTTTAAACTTCCTTATCTATCTGTGTATGTCTGAGAGACCTTAGACGCTGCTTTTAACCCCTACATGAATTGTCTCATCTCGATAAAGGATTCCTTTTTGATATGTTTTGATACATTTTCCGAAGTTTATTCTAGTTGATTGAATGGGAAAAGCTCTGTAGAAACCTTCAGGAACCAATGCAGGTTCCATATGCATATGCATATGCATATGCATATATATATATATATATACATACATATACATATACATATACATATACATATATACATACATACATACATACATACATACATACATACATACATACATATATTAACTCCTCTTTGTCGGAATAGGGCTGTCTAAAAGAAATGATCCCTGGACTGTGTCACATCTAGCAAAGAAAAAGTAAATTGGAATGGTTGGAAAATTCATTTAATATTTTTTTTTCATATACTGTTGGAAAAAAACAGTCCTTCAACTACCATGAATGGGAGATAGTATTTTCCTTTTAAAAAATAAGTTTGCACTGATTCAATATAGTTACTCTTGTCTTTTACCTAATTAAACTAATCACTGATTGTCAGTAAACATATCAAGACAACAGAAATCCATTTAGTATAAAGTGATTGTTAATTTCATGCTAGCATGAAATTAACTTATTAATTTCAAGCTGTTTTAAACTTTTATCTTGATTGGGACAATTAAAAAATTAGCCATTTTCAGTGGCCTCTTCCAAGTGACTCAAATGCCATCAAGGTGATGATCATGGATGGTTCACAGCACTGCAAACCAATACAGGAAAAGAGGAAGCAAAAGAAAAAAGAAAAAGCCAATGGGATGATATAAGGAAGGAAGATTCTTGTTTCAGTAAAAAAGAAAAAAAGCACAAAAAAGCACAGAAAAGTTAAAAGACACCATGAATAACTGGCAACTTGAATCTTCCTCGTATTTTGGAATACTGCTAAGTGCTGTTAAATACCAACTAATCAGGATTTTTTATTAGAATCCCAAGTTCACAGAATATAAAATACCAGTGGAAGAAACTTTAAACAATACATAAAGATAACAACTGGACCGGCCATATTAATTAAGCAAAGATTTTGTTTAGAAAGAAATAAAAAAATAAAATAAAACGAAAGAAAAGAAAACCCTTCTATCTTCTTAACTGTGGTAGGGTGTCATTTCATCTTTAGTATAAAGCAGGCCATCCATATTTGTTCACAACTAGGAAAGACTACAGAAATTGTCAACAATTTCTTCTAGCTATTGCTTTTTTGCAGTTTTTTGACCATAAGCTCTTATCTAAGATTTCCCCCCAATACTTTTAAGCTAGATGTTTGCAATGTGATAAGTAAAGCTTACTAAAAACATTTTAAAGCTCATAAAAAAAAGACTGCAGATAAAGAGCTCTAATGCTTGGCCAACAATCACATTTTGTAAATTAAAAAAAAAATCTGAATCCTCCTCACCAATTCTTTAAAATGCAAGTTACTTCCTTTTCAATAATTTTATTGTAAAACACTTTAGCCTTTTATATTCTTCTCTGTCAACACTAAGAAAGTTCATAAAAGTCTTCACATTGATCTTTTTTTTCAACTCTTGAAGTTGCCACAGTTTTTCCTTAATCAATAGTTTTTGTTTAACATTTTCTGTTAAGCTGTACAATTTTTACGTTTTTGCTATTTGTTTGTTTGTTTGTTAACCCTAAAAAGTCAGTCTGTTGAACTTCAGCATCAGTTGATCCAGGTGTACATACATTGGAATCCATTTGCTTTTCTTCTGCAAAACATTGAGGGCTCACCTTGAAAGCCTTTGACATCCTTAAAATTAAGGCAATTAAGATTCAATATAAATCTTCCCTAAACATTTCTTTTTTAAAAAAATCACACACATATGCAAACAAATTCAAAAGGAAAGACACAGTTGATTTCAACAATGGAGAAAGAATTAGCTGGATTCTTGAGGAAGACCACTAGTTTTCATCTCAGCTTTCTTCCTCTTATTATCACCATTCTTGGTTTTTTCGGAAAAAAAATAAAACAAAATAAAGCAAACAAAACAAAACAAACAAAAACTATAAATGTACAGTTCCAAGTAAATTCTGAATTTCAAATGTTCATTCAGATAAAATATTAACATAGTATTTTGTCATGTTTTCCCCTTTAATTAAAAAAAAATAGCAAAAATACAACTTTTAGACTATATGACCAAACAATTCCACAGCACACAGAAACACTCTTGCTGGATAAAGTAGGGAAAAAATGTCACCGCCTGTGCAAATGGGAAGCCATCTTCTTGTTCAGTGAAGTTTTTTTCATTCAAGGCAAGCTTTGCTGACCGACATTTTTCAGGTCTATTCATTGTCTCTGAAAAGAATGAATTAAAACGTTCATTTAAGTAAAAATATCTGTCTTTTAAAAATATAATTTCTTTTAAATTCTGTTGAAGCTAAATTTCCTTAGCCTAGAGAGAATGAATTATGAGCATAAATTCAATTATTTGTAATTTTTAAAAAAATTAGTTTGAAGGTCACTTAATGCAGAACATGTCATTTCTCATGGAATTTTTGGGATTTCAATAATTTCTTTGAAATATTGCAAGAATGTAGCACATCATGGCGTAGCATAATTTGAAAGAATACTTAGGATGAAATGAACATCATTGTTGGCAGTTGCCAACATAATTCCAAAACATCCTGACAAATTAATTGCAAGGAACTGGTAGGAACCCATGAATGCCCATCTCCTAATGTTGTTCATTCCCTGAACAACAAATGTATTTGTCTCTTGTACCTATAAATAAGTTAAACTTACTGAAATTTTGCTTTGGCAATATATACAGCTCTGAATTCTACTCAATAATTTTTTTAAAAATCTTAAAGTCTACCTGGATTACTTGAAGGAGCTCTTGAGCCATGTCATGATAAAAGTAGATTGCTAATGTCGAATGGCTATACTATAATATTTATTTGGGAATACTATATCATTGTGAAAGAACTGCTGCTAAATTTTTAAAAATGCCTAGGAATTCCAAATATTAATATTTCTGTAATTCAGTCAATTCCTTTGAACCCTAAATGGCAGTACCAAGTCAATGTTGGCTGATCTCAGCAAGCTAAGCAAGCTTTGACTAGTACATGGATAGGAGAAGACTGGGAAACTGCAATGCTTTAAACTAGACTTGGAAATTGGAAAAAAAAATCCCAAAAGACAATGGCAAAACACTTTTATACTGGTGTAAAGTAAACTATGTGGAAAAGTTCATGAAGTAACCAGGATGGAGCTCAAATCAAGGGAGACTTTACCTTATTCATATCAGTGAGGTAACAGACTTCCCTTCCTCCAAGAAAACTTCCTGTTTTTGCATGAGGATTGTTTTGGTTTTATATTTTTCCAACGAGAGACCATTCTTAGATCAGTGGTTCACATAGATATAAAGAGGTGGATACTTTGGAAGCTGGTTTCTATTGGATATAAAATTAAACACACCTCTGATTTTGATTTGAAAGAAAAGCAGGCTGCATATTTGACCCAAAAGTTTTCAAACTTTTTTTGAAAGGATTTGTAAATGATTTTTGCCTGCCCCATGATAGAAACAAAACTGTATGTATGTTTCTTCATACATCTACAGCCATTCTGTCATTACATTTAGCATGTATACTGAAGTAATAAGCATGTATTACTGAAGATTAACACTTCTATCATGTCTTTATCACTCAGTTTTAGAAGGCTACATCAGTTCCCTTAGCTCAATCTGCACTGTTACTTTCAAGAAAGTCCCACCTAATTAGATGGCCTTAATATGTGAACAGGATTATAATTCTTTATATAAATTGAAATAGCACCCACCCACTTTTTAATGTTGCTTGATGACAATCTTGAATTGTTTATCTGTGTATCTATAGACAGCAAAATATTATGTAACATAAAATAGAAAAATGATTGATATTTAGCCTATCATTCACATCTATTCATCAGTTTCAAAATGGTTATGTGGATATTGACATTGTTAATGAATCTGGAATTGTGTTTAAGAAAAAAACCTGATTTTAGTGGAATTAAAATATCTTACTTTGACTGTTGGTATGAATATGTAGATGCATGTTCACTGGATGTTTCGACAGCTATCTGTTGCTGTTGACCATTGGATTCCTGTGATGAAGATGCTACTGTCTGTGGAGAGGTATCAGCAACTACACCCTGAAGAACATAGAACAAGGTGTCAAACTTGTGACCCTTGGGCCAGATGTGTCATGTGTTGGCCTTCCCCTGCACAGTTTAGCAAAGGAAAATAAAGTCCTGATATGGGCAGTGGTGGGGTTCAAAAAATTTAACAACCACTTCTCTGCCCTAACGACTGGGTGGGTGTGGCTGGGTTGTCATGTGACTGGGTGACATGGCTAATTTGATTGGTCTTCACCTTAGGAAATTTCTCCTTAATCTAACTCACAGTAAAATATCACTGTTCTGATATTTAGAATAGAATAAAATAGAATAACAGAGTTGGAAAGAAATGGGAAGTCTTCTAGTCCAACTCCTTGCTTGGGCAGGAAATCCTACACCACTTCAGACAAATGGTTATCCAATCTCTTCTTTAAAATTTCCAGTGTTGGAGTATTTAATCTTCTGGAGGCAAGTTGTTCCACTGATTAATTGTTCTGTCAGGAAATTTGAGGGGCTCATACAAAAATGAGGGAGTCAATCTAATGGTGCATCAAAGCACCAAAAGGCACAACAAGAAACAATGGATGGAAAGTAACTAAAGAGAGAAGCAACATAGAATTAAGGAAAAATTTCCTAAGAGTGAGACCAATCAACCAAGTTGTGGGTGCTCCATCACTAGAGGCTTTCAAAAAGAGTGAGGAAAGTACACCCCAAAGGACAGTGCCAGGAACCACTAAAACAGTGCAGAAAACTCAAGAGACATTCCCCTTTAAAAAAAAGTCAACCCCAAAGCAAACACAGCAACTGAGAGGGAAACTAAGAGCAGTTGCTCATGCTAATTGAAAGCCTGGGCATGCTGTCAAAAGCCATTAACCCTTCCAACTCTATTATTCTATGTTCTCTATGTTCTAAATTGGATGCTTCACAGCAGAAGCAATATAGCTGACTGGACCACACATGCATTAAATTCACAGCCTGTATGATCAAGCTGCATCATTGTCCCTTCCTGTATCTTTTCCCCCAGGAAGAAACAAGAAGTAACGAACACTGCAGCAGCTATAAAAGATCTTGGAGAACTCCAGGGAGTATCAGCTGATCAGAGAACTATTACTCTTTATAATGATAATGTTTGTAATCTTGTCCTTCTTCCTGAAAGGAAGGGCTTAATCCCATCCCTAGATGACTAATTGATGGGTTTCCCTGCCCAATCCTGTCAATTTCTGTTTATTGACTTGATTTAGCATGTATCAGCTGCATTTCAGCTGCAACTATTAAGTGGATCTTCCCTGTCTTCCTGGAACTATTGACTGAAGGGAGAGAGAGAGAGAGAGAGAGAGAAAAATATCTCCTGCATTTTATTTTTAACCAGTTCTCCGAACTGCACAAGCAATTAACTAATGGTTCGGGCAAACCAGTGAGAACCGGCTGAATCCCACCTGTGGATATGTCATGTGACACTGCCGTGATGACTTGAGTTTGACACCCCTGACACAATGCATCTTATAATTTTGACTACAATCAATAATTGTAGAATACAATAGCCAGCACTTAACTAACTTCATTATTTAAGGGCAGTGGTACCATTTTTTAATTTGTCAATCTCAGATATAACAGGAGTCATGGGTTGCTAAACTGTTTATTTGTATTGCCTTGGTTACAGTCACAACTCTATTATTAGGACATCAATGTTATAAAGTTTCAAAGAAAAACATACTATGGTCCATTTTGCACCAGCTGCTAGAATAGTATATATTTATAATGAAACCCTGATATACTCTAGACTGCTATCATTTAACAAGACAGTCTCATTTGGATCTCATCAAAAGAAAATTAATTTATTTGTTCTTTCAGTATTACTGAGATTGTAATTCCTTGATTGGGGTAATGTTTAGGGCTTGGTTATTTGTATAATATACCACGACGGCACTATTAAAGCCAACCACTTTAACACATTCTTTGGCTCAGTATTTGTAAACAGCAATGGATCATGCCCAGTATTTCCTAGTCGAACCACAGACAACTACAATGATCTAATACATATCAATTTTACAAAAGACAATGTTGAAAAAGCACTATGCAATCTAAAACCATCTCTATCTATTGGACTGGACAGGATATGTGCCTACTTCTTAAAAAAAGCTATCCACTGCCATAGCCGAACCTCTAAGCATAATCTTTGAAAAATCCTTCAGGACTAGCTCCTTGCCAAACCTATGGTCATCCCCAACAAGCCACGGTCATCCCCAACTTCAAAAAGGGAGACCCCAGTCTAGTTGAAAATTACAGACCAATCTCTTTATGCTGCGTCACCTGTAAAGTCTTGGAATCAATTATTAACCAATCCATCATCCTCCACTTAGAAACAAACAACCTACTCTCTAATAAACAATTTGGTTTCAGGAAAAAAACTATCATGTAATCTACAACTCTTACACTGCAAAAACATATGGACTACACAACTCGATCAGGGCAAAGCAATAGACGCAATCTACATAGACTTCTATAAAGCCTTTGATTCAGTGGTACATGACAAACTACTCCTAAAACTAAAATCATACAGTATCTCTGGACACCTCCATAACTGGATAGAAGCATTCCTGTAAAACAGACAACAAATGGTCAAAATTGGGAGAATCCTATCAATTCTGTACCTATCAACAGTGGTGTCCCTCAAGGCAGTGTTCTAGGACCAACTCTTTTCATACGCTACATAAATGACCTCTGTGATCATATCAACAGCAACTGCATTCTCTTCGTTGATGATGTAAAGCTATTCAACACCACAGACAATACTGCTACCCTTCAAAAAGACCTTAACTATGTATCAAAATGGACAAACAAATGGCAACTTCAAATCTCAACAAATAAATGCTCTGTCCTACATATTGGCAAAAAAAAAAATCAGAAAATAAAATGCAGGCTGAATAGTCAAGACCTTGTTGATGATCCAAACTCTGTCAAGGATCTTGGAGTACTCATCTCTAATGACCTAAGTGCTAGAGCCCACTGTAACTACATAGCCAAAAAGGCATTAAGAGTTGTTAACCTAATCTTACATAGCTTTTTCTCTGGTAATATTACACCAATAACTAGAGCATACAAAACATTTGCTAGACCAATACTTGAATACAACTCATCAGTCTGGAACCCACTTTACATATCTGACATTAACACAGTTGAGAAAGTCCAGAAATATTTCACAAGAAGAGTTCTCCACTCCTCTGCTCATTGCAGAATACCTTATGCCACCAGACTCGAAATTCTAGACCTAGAAAACCTAGAACTACGCCACCTTCAGTCCAATCTAAGTATAGTATATAAAATCATACATTGCAATGTCCTACCTGTCAATGAATACTTCAGCTTCTACCATAACAACACAAGAGCAAACAATAGATACAAACTCAAGGTTAATCGCACCAAACTTGATTGTGAGAAATAAAACTTCAGCAACAGAGTGGTCAATGTCTGGAATACTCTACCTGACTCTGTGGTTTCTTCCCCAATCCCCAAAAACCTCTTTCCTAAGAGGTCTGTAGGGGGTGTGCATAAGTGCACCAATGTGCCTACCACCCCTGTCCTATTTTTTTCTTTTTTCTTTTCTTTTACTTATATGTATCCATGTATTCATAACTATGTTTTTACTTATACCTATTATCTTGTAAACAATTGACAAAAATAAATAAATAAAAATAAATAAATAATATTAATTCTGGTATTTTGGTCTTTTTCATTAGTTTTAACTTCTTGGTTGTTTCTTTCGAATGTTATGAAGATGTGTTTATTTCTATGTGCCTATTGATGGCTGATTTGTCTGAGTGCCACGATTCATAAATTATCTTGCATTTTTGGATTTAGCTTGGTCTAGGACGCTTACAATTTCCAAGTTGAAAGTATGATTGAGTCTATCCATGTGTTGTGCAATTCAGGCATTTTCATCATGTCTTCTGATTGGTAATTAGTGTTCATGGAGCACTCTCCTGATCTTCTGCCTGTATGTATATACTAGCTGTTACAATCAGTGGTGGGATTCAAAAATTTTTTTACTACTGGTTCTGTGGGTGTGGTTTGGTAAGCGTGGTGTGGCTTGGTGGGAGTGGCTTGGTAAGTGTGGCTGGAGAAGGATATTGTAAAATTTCCATTCCCTGAGTAGAGCATTGTGAGTCAGTTATGACTCAGATGTAATAGTAAATGAAAATGCAATAAGTATCAGTTAGTAATGATTATTAGAACTATCAAATTCGATAACAAATGGAATGTGTTATACACAGTATTGTTTTTGTATTTTTTAAACTTGTATGTTTTTAATCTTTGTAAATAAAGTTTGTTTGAAAATTTTAAAAAAAAACTCCATTCCCACCCTACTCCAGGGGAAGGATACTGCAAAATCCCATTCCCTCCCAACCCCACTAATCTGCTTTCCAGCTCTGTTCTCCTGTGCACAAAAGAAGACCCAGCCAAGTCAGCTGGACTCGGCAGGCAGAGAATAGGTGGCGGTGGGGCCAGTCAGAGGTGGTATTTTCCAGTTCTCCAAACTACTTAAAATTTCCATTACCGGTTCTCCAGAACTGGTCAGAACCTGCTGAATACCACCTCTGGTTAAAATCCTTACAATGTAGTTGTACAAGATTCCTGATTTTTCTTCTGAAGCTACTGGGTCTTTTGGTTTACTTATTTTATAGGCTTCAGTTGATTGGGTGCTGGGTTGATGCCGCATTGTAGTTCATTCTAAAGCTATTAATAAGACTAAAATACTAATACTGCTTTTATTTCAAGACTACAATAATAGAATCCTGCAAGTTTATTTTTATTTAAGTAAATGTAAACTGATAAAATATACTCAGAAATAATGACTTAGCCTGAACTGTCCCTAATTAATTAGAAAAAGATCTAAAAGTCACATGGGCATTTTCAGAGTGGGACAAAAGCATTTCGTCATAGATAATCCACGTCTGATCTAAAGAATTCACTGAATTGAACTGAACTTCGATAGAGAACAGGTCTTAGCTCAATATTAACTCAAGATTGTAGTGATG